TAGTTTTATTTAAGAAAGGACTTGTATCGCTAAAGTTTCTTCGGAAATAATTTTTACGGAAAATTAGCAAACGAACACAGGGGTGCAACAATGTGAATAATATATATGTATATATATACGATATACACAAGCTATGTGTAAATATATTTAAATAGGCATGCATAGTTTAGTTCAATTGAATGTGTTATTTATAACAATAGTAGTCTTTTCTTTTAAAAACATAACTATTTATAATGCTCCATAAATAATAAAAACAAAAATTACAGTGAAAGCAATGAAGATTTTGTAGGTTTTGAACCAAACTAAATAATGGTAAACCTTTTTTGATTTACGGTATTTTGATCTCTTTTGTGTTTAGAACAATATTTACTTACTTTTAAAGTATCAAATTGAATTTTTGTTAATAAAAATCTTTCAAATGCGACTGTAGCTTTTTCCCCCAAAAACTTTGTCTTCAAAATAAGGGTGCGTCTTATATTCCGAAAAATACGGTAGATGTTTTTAAAACTCGCCAAGAACTTCGAAATGTCTACGTCAAGCTGAGTACATGCATAAACGAAAACTTGAAAAACCTTATAAGTAAGTGGAATTCAACCCATTCCTCGTGAACGTTCGAAGTATTATGTAAATATTAAAGACAATAATATCAGGGTATGGTTTTTGTTGCTAAGTGATGCAGACGAATAGAGCGTTACCATACGACAACTGGCTTATATATATAATAGATTATAGAGAAAACAAATGCGGTTACTTTTATTATAATTCCTACATTTATCTACACGTAACAGTGGATTTCCTAGTCAATTGTAAATAGAATAAAGTAAACTTACTTTATAATACTTACCTTTCTCTATACATTACAGTGGACATCTTGGATAATTATAAAGAAAGAGTTTGTTTGTAGTTAAGCACAAAGCTATAGAATGGGCTATCTGTGTTCTGCCACCACGAGTATCGAAACCCGGTTTCTAGGGTTGTAGCTCAGCAGACATACCGCTGTGCCACTGAGGGCCATAAAGAGAAGGAACTAAACTAACTTTATAATTCTATCCGTTATCTACATGTGACAGTGAACTTCCTGATTAGGTTTACCGAGAAAGAAACTGAGGTTACTTTATAATTCTTACCTTTATCTATACATGACAGCATATTTGTTGGTTAATTACAAAGACAAAGGAACTTAGGTTACTTAATAATTCTTATCTTCATCTGCACATGACAGTGGCTTTATTGGTTAAATTGTAGAGAGAGGGAACTAAATTTACCTCATAATTCTTACCTTTATTATTAAGCACGGTAGTACTTGATAGTAGGGATCGACAAGGTTTCCAAATAATTCTCGTCCCAAAAAACAACAACACCCTATTGAATTCCTATGCAAAAAATCCGACCATAACCGGTATAACAATTCAAAAATTTCTAAAACAGCAACTTTTTCGTCTATTACCTACCTACCTACTTGATCACGTCAGCAGGGCTAGCCCCTAGACGGCTCAGACTATCGCTACAATATTTCTCCAGCTTACGTGACTGGTCTTTGGGTATCCACTTTTGATATTCCAATAAGTATATACATATTTTTTTTCCTTTTGTAAATGGTAAACATATCATACACATGCTTAAGTATCTTTTAAATCCAATTCAAACCAACAGCTAGCGCTACATATCGATGGATAGATACGCGACAGTTTCTAAAGGTAAATTATATACTTTATACAGGTATAATATAAAAATTAAACAAACAAGAGTATTAAAAATTATGAATTTTAAAATTAAGTAGGGATTCTGCTACAAAAAGATAATGAAATAAGAATTAAAACCACAATCACAAATTTATAAAATTTAACCCCTACTTTGGCTGCTTTATACACTTATCTGTAGGCCAAAGTAAGGATTACATTTTATAGATTTGTGATTGTGGTTTTAGTTCTTGTAAAAGTTATATCTATCAGGGATATGGCTATACTGAAACTTTATGGATGTTTTGTCCATTCCATGGACATATATAAACTGAACAAATAAACAGGGGGAAAAATAAAATTTTAATAAAAACTAGGAATCGTTGGTTATTCGTAGAGTTGCTACAAGAAGTATCCAAAACAAAATAATTGCTGCAATAAAAAGTACCCAAAGATTTGGCTATACGGATCAGAATGCCAATCAAAGTAGGGATTGAAAATCGTTTTAAAATATATCCAACTTTTATCACTTTACTTGTTTGTTACTTTTTATTGCACCATTTATTTTGTTCTGGATACGTCTTATAGCAATTCTACAAATAACCAACAGTCCCTACTTTCTGTTAAAATTTTAACTTTTTTTCCTATTTATCTATACATTACAACGGACTTAATTGTTATTTGTGAAGAGTAAAGAACAAAATTTACTTTAAAATTCATGACATCACAGAGGTGAATTTCACAGCAAGGTTTATCACCACACAAGGTTAGAGAGCATCAAACACATTCCCCCACCTACTCGTGAACCTACACCATATTAATATACTTTTACTTTACTGTTATTATAACTATCCCATCTTAAGAACTGTTACACAATTATACAGCATAATTGAAAATTTAACAAAACAAGCTTTGCTAATTCTAGTAGTTTTATATTGATTTCAATTAAAATCTATTATCAGTAAGAAAAATTCAAGTTTCATTTTGCAGAAACAATAATTATACATGGACCTTCTGAGCCTTTAAAAAACTTTTGTAATTTTATATGCAGTTAAAATATTCTTTGAGACACCAAAAGTTTTTATATGTTAGATATGCTCATTGAATTAGTTTATATCACAAAAATAATATGATATGAACAAAATCAGCTATTAGGTGTTACACCAAGTAATAAATTTTGTAACAAAGACTTTACATGTAAAGGTGATGGTGCATCGATTGTATCACTCTTGTTATAAGTAGTCCTCCAATGTGTGAACAGCACACATACCTATTTACTTATCATGTAAAAAAAGGTAACAATTATCTAAAAAACCAGCTTACGGATTTTACAACTCTGCTAATACTAATATACCTCATATCTAATGTGATAGGAAATGTGGTTATGAACCAAAATGATCGTAAATAGATTACCAAACAGTTTATTGATTGTTGCTGATATTAGGGTAAAACTACACAAGGAATATCCGTGCTAGCCATCCCCAATCTTGGACTAACAGACTAAAGGGAATGTACTCTCTGTTAACTCTTAGACTAAACTGATTGACCATCACTTTATAACACACCCATGGCTACAAAGTGCACAGCTCAATTTTGTGGCAACTAGGCATAAACCACAAACCCTCAGATATACAGTCTGGCTTGCTAACCACTAGGCCACTCCCAGGCCAATTTTCAAAAATCAAGATCAATTTATTCAGTCACAGAGAAAAAAATACAAAGACGTAAGATACATCAAAGAAAGTCTTGTTACAGAATAATACCTTATCAACAGTTCATGGTAAACAAGCAATGAACAGGATTATGTTAGTGTAAGTATGTTACCTAACTGTTTAAACATACTGAAACTGTATTAGTACTCAAAAGTATATTTCTTAACAAACAAAAAAAAGATGAATTATATTCTCTAATACCATTATAAACTACTACACTGTAGTGTTATAATGAAAGCTATTTACAATAGTTTTTTAAGTAACTTTATGTTTCTAGCCTATTTTATGTTTATTAACATTGCTATTATTTCATTGTTAACTAATCTATGGTTATGTTTGCTTAAATATAAGTCTTCCTTCATAAATGTGGTATACTCAAAGGTCTATACAGAGAACACATATACAGGTTTTCTCTGTAAATTAAACATTACTTGAATTCAATATACTACACATTCTGAAATTGTTGCAATACCCAATGCTCTTAAGCAGCTTTATCCTTGGAAAACTTTAATCTGGAAAATGAATGTTAATTATGCTCTGATACTTTAAAACTAACCCTTTTTAATACTACTGATAATTAAATAAGTGTTGACTACATTCATTCTGAAGTTAACAACACATTACAAATCACATGATAAAACAAACATAACTTATGTTACATAACACCAAAATATATGCACATAAACAGTCACTGTTAAGTGATACAATATTTACAGCACCTAATCAAAACAAAAGAATCTTTAAAATATAACACAATATAAAAATCAATGTGACACCAAATTAACAGTATGTTCAAATAACCTTATTACATGACACAGAACAGACTTTACAATGACAAAAAATACAGACACGCCTTGCTATATGACATCAAATTATCAGCACACAACAAGAAACAAAATCATTAATATGCGACACAAAATAAATAGAACCCTTGTTGCAATACACAAAGAGGGACAATACCATTAATAAGCACCATAAGCCACAAACTAAATAGAATCTTTAACACATGGGACAATATCAAACTCTTTCTTATATATATAAAATTATAGAGCATACAAAATGACACAAACTAGACAGAAAATCTTAAAACTGATACTAAACAAAAAGAACACTTACCACATGGCTTGGACTGACACAGGTTTGAAGATGTGTTGTCTCCCACCAGAACTAACACTAAAGCCCCTGTGGAGAACAGAAACACACAGCTTGTATAGTAATTCAAATAACTGGTTGACAAAAAAGTGGAGGGAGGAATCAAGACTAGCTTTTTTTAAAAGTTCAGTCATTATATAATACCAAACAGCAGGAGCTGCCAGATGGAACAAGTTTAGAATCTGTTACTTGATCTCTCCTTTCTGTAAAAAAATGTAACTTACCATAGTAAGGGTAATTAGTGATATTCAAAACTTCACTCTGAGCTGCTGTTTTTATATATGTGAAGAACTGATATGTGAGGTACTTCCTAAACATGCTTCAACAATTCAACTATAAACTTACTAATTAGAAAAAAGTAAAACACTTATAACAATATACATGTGCTCAACTCTACATTAGTGACCACCAGTCAGTGTGAAACCTACCCATCTCCATCCAACGTGATTTGAGTATCAGAAAACAAAGGTAACACAAGCCCTATAGTGGTTATTGAGCCACAGTCTATACCCAACAAACAGCTCTCATCATTTTTGTCTTGGTCTTTCCCAGAAACCACCACCAGGTAGCGTGTTCTGCCAGGATGAATGCTTTCTAATCTTACTGCCTGAAACAATATTCCACAATTACATAAGAATAAAAAACCCACTGTATGGTATGTTCAACCAATGTTTTATTTTGTGATGTATAAATTAAAATAGCACAACCATATAACAAAAAAACAACAACACTAGAATGCATGTCATATAGATCATAATCATTAGAATGTTTGTTGAAACGTTCATATTACAACTACAAAACTTTCAAATGCAAACTAATATCTTGTTGTCACACATAAAAATGTATAAACATAAATGATTTAAAGCTTTTTATAAAATTACTTAAATCAGAAAAGTTATGAACATTGAATCTTGTATGAAATATTATGTTATGTGTTACTACGCTTTGCAAGTATTATGACTGCAACCCTTTCATAACTCAGAAAAGTAAAATATCTTTATTTAGATGTATTCTGGTAAACTCATTCAAAACTCTAGCACAAACAGTTGTTCTTAGTCAGACATTCTAAGTGAACAGGTTATACCATACTTCAAAATGTACTACTCTTATTGTTAAGCTTATTATGAAGAGCAAGAGATCAGTCCTGGAACATATGTATCTTCTTTCATGGCAGCTACAATGGGTTAGTAAACTTATTAAAGTGATCTTGAATAACTGTCTAATATAATAATCATAAAGAATGATAAGACTACTAAAGAAAAATCATTTCTATTTTAGTATTAATGGAATGAATTTAATGATGTGTGTAACTTGGCATACTAGGAAGTTCTGATGAAGTTTAGGACTCAATATAAACCTAAGAAAAATTAGTTCATGGTCTTAATTCAACTTGTCCTAGTAGAGTGCACTGTCTAAACTGTAAGCCCATTTGCTATTACCCTAAAGAGTCAGCTATTTTTTGAAGTAGAATCAATTAATATTACATAGATATTCATGGTATTTTTTCATATATTTTATTGCTGAAAGCAAAGTGTTGTAGTTTCTGAATGAAACTTTTGTGTGTGTCTTTATCTTTCGTAAAGTTTGACTTATTCTCTTTCTGCATACAAATTCTCAGAACCTCCTGTGTTTGTAGTTTTAAAAACTAAACTGTTGATTCAGTTGTACCAGAATTCTGACTAAGTTACAATTTTAATGCTATGATGATTAATTTATCTGTGCAAAGTTTAAACCAGTAGAATTTTTATTTTACTTGCTATAATCTAATTCCTGCAATTCATTGATAAGGAAAGGTCTTTCAAAAATCAGAAAATGAATATGGTGGAGAGGAAGGAACAACAAGTCAAGTTAGGCCAAGACCTGAGAATAAGGTAAAGTCTAGGAAAGGTCCTTTCCTTGATGAAGGCATTACACTCAAGCTGCACAAAGCTATGTTCATTCTTGATCAGGCCACATAACCAGAAAGTTGGGATGCAACCAAACACCTCTAAAGCTACTGTTCCAGCTTGCTTTTCCAGGGTTATCTATAACTTACAGAAGAAGATCTTCATTAGATCAGGTGTCCATGATAATGAGAAATCATAAAGTCCTGAGATCCTGAGACTGAATAATACAATTTCTACAGGACTCAAAGTTGACCATCATTCATCACACCTAGATACAATTTCTGTTTACAGTTGTTAGTAACTAACTGGTGAATTGAAATGCTTCTTGATGACAAAGTCCACTAGGGGTAGTGGCTCTACTGTCGGATGTAACAGCAAAATCTCACTAGTAAACTGGTGATTACTGACAGAACCAAAACATTTTAGGCCTGGTCTCAGAATGTGGGATGCTGGAGATGCCAAAGGTTACATGGAGGTTCTTGATTGAGCAGTGCACTAAAATGATGTTTGTGTGACAATGACATATTATTCAGTTGATTATGAGTTACATGTTCACTTGAATGCTGGAGACACACCTCTGCCACTTGGCATTTGTACTGACTAACACAGCCCAATGGAAAAAGTGTTAAGCAAATTAACTGACTAACATTCAGAGCCATTTCAGGCAAATAATATCCAGAAATAGCTTATGGACAAGTGGTGTAATGTCTGATGCTCAGAATGGACAGTCCAGTACTTGTTGCTGTAGACTATTTGAATGAAAAAGAAAAACTCTTGGATTGGGACACTGTTTTGGTGGAGTTATGCCAAACACTAATCCAGTGGAGAATAAAGCAATTAACAAAGCTAAATTCAGAGCTTGAAAACATAGACCCCACAAAAACTTGGCGCTTATACAGATGAGTTGTGGTGCCTACATAGAATGACATGACCTATGTCATCAGAAAACTGAGAGGAGATTATCATAAAAATGACTGCCAGGCAAACCTATACAGCAACACAAGGTTGTAAGTGACATCACATTCCTGACAAAAGTTATTTCTATAGAAATAAGTTTCAGAGCAATCTCATTGAATAAGTTTCTGGAGAAAATGCTGATATAAGTAGCTAAAACACCTTCAAAACATGCCTTAGAGACACCGAGCCTGAAGTACTTGGCTCTTAAACCCCACAACTGCAAGCACTGATGTTGCACTGGTTACCAATAAAAAGTCATGTCTACTCAAGTACATTTATTTTACCAGTACTGTCATCACAACAGTTAGCTCCAAACAGACAACACTCTACATGAGAGTAATGGAACACTTATGTGAATTCTAGACTCCCTTGACAGGCGAGAGGAAACTGTCTAAATGGAGAGTCAATGAGAAGCTATGGGTGCTACTACCCTGATTAATTTAAACTCATGGAGCCTTAGTTGGTTTTAAAAACCAACCTTGGCAGGTACAGAAGCTTTCTCAAGTCTAAAAGTATGGCACCTAGCTCTAATCATCCTGAAATGAGCATGAGTTGGTAAGTACATGTGAAGATGTAAGGATGTAAGATTGAATTATTGCTGGACCTCAAATTGTGTCAAGTGTTTGAGTAAAGTCACTAATTTGGCTAATAGAAATGGGCTTGAGGTAAATGGAAAATCACAAATCCATTCTGCTATTAGTGCCGTCTTTCACAGAACAAAAATTGTCTCTAACCTATGATAGAGCATTCGTACTTAGAGATGGATCTGTTGCAGAACCTACCAGCCAAAATGGTATATATAGGTCAGGTGAATTGAAGCTCTGCAGTAACAATCTTCATTCTTAACATGTCAGATCCCAGAAACAGTGGATTGATTAAGTACACATACAGGAAAGAATCACAGTACCTTTTATATGCACACGGTTTTCTGTGATATCCTACAAGGTCAGTTTAGCATTTTGTCACCATCTGCTGCAGTTGACAATGAAACACAAAAGAAACCAAGTTTTACTTGTTCAAATAATTACTGTTCAAAATGCTGGTTTTGTACAAATGCAATTAAAGATAGCTGCTATTCAGTTTCTAGCTGGAATGATTATTGAAATGGTACATGAAGTAAAAGCAAATGAAGCTGTCTATATAGCTAGTATTATTTAAGCCGTGCTGCATTGAGAATAAATGTACAGTTGCCAGAACAACCGAGCTAGTGATAAAGGATTCTACAGAAATTTGACCTCAGAACAGCAAAAAGAACTCGGTACATTGTTGATGGAATTTGCCAATATGTTTGTACGACAAAGTGGCCAACTGGGTAAAACAACAGTTACTTGTCATAACAAAGATGAATATGGCTCATGTGTGATAAAACAGTTGCTTCTAAGGCTTATTTGGATGTTGATTAATAAAATACAGAAAATATTAAAACAGAGTAATACAACTGTTAAATAGAGCTGATAGTGAAAAAGATAGATGGAATACTAAGGTTCTGTGCAAATTGTAGTTGAGTGAATATGGTCTTATACATCAACACATGTCCTTTTCTATAGAACGAAATTGTTGTTTGTTTATTACTAATTTTAAGCACAAAGCTACACAAAGCCCACCATGGATATCAAAACTCGGTTTCTTGCAGTATAAGCCCGCAGACATACTGCTGTGCCACTGGGGGGCGCTATAGAAAGAAATATCTGCATTTGCTGGAAAGTGCAGACTGATTCTAATACAAGACCTGGCGTTTGGTTAATAGCAAGTTGGATGATGAATGTAGACACAAATCTGCTGCTAGCACTCAAGATAGTTTATATGAAATTCATGTTATAGAGAACCAGAGAATAGTATTTCTGCTGATAACAAAAGCAGGCTTGAAACTTAAGCTAGGAAAGTGCTTTTGGGTATACATGTGGAGCTTTTCAGTCACATTGTAGAAAGGGAAAGTGTATTTATATATCCTATAAAGATTGTAGTGGTTAAGAAGAGACCCCCAGCCTGGGACTATAAACCAAATCAACAGCTTTTTTTAGGCTCTGCCTCAAATTATCAAAACATTTTGAGGCCAACTTCTTCAAGAATGCTGTATTGTTCTCAACTCTGACTATGACTGATACTCATTTTAAATGGACTGAAGACTAATACTAAGTATTAAAGTCACAAAGAAGTGCTTCAGTTGAAGTTTAGTGTTGGCTCATTCTTGGCAAGATTGTCCATTCATTCTATATAATTGTGTCACTGATAGTGGAATCAGAGGGAGATTTTCACAAGTGCAGAAAGAAACAAAGATCATTTTGTGTAGACCAGTCATGCACAGATACTTCCTGAATATCAATACTTCAAATATGGAAAGAAGTCCTTGCAGTAGTAGTACTTGTCAAATACTTGTGGTATAACTCATATGATTGGAAGTTCATCATTCAAATCAATTATCCTCATTGAAATTACATACAAACTAGAAGAACTTCAAAGGTATGACAGCTCTTTGGAATAAAGCACTGTTGGGCTACAAGTTCATTGTACAAAGCTGTCCAGGGCAACAGAATGGATGTTAGAATGTTTAAATCCTGTACATCATAGAGATGTAAAAATTGTAGTAGTGGTAGTAGTGATGAACCATACAGGTTGGATTAATAAACCAAATAAATCAATCCACCAAACTTCTAGATGCTGCAGTCATATGATGCATGAGAGAATGTTTAACACATTGGCAAGCTAAACCTCTTGAGCACTGGTGGAACCAAGAACCAGAAGTTAAGGAAATTGATTGGGAGGA